CCCCCCCCCCCCCACTCCCCTCCCTGCCCCCTGCCCCTCCTCCACCGCCCCCTCACACCTCTCCCCTTCGTGCGCCGTTTCTCCCCAGCCTCACAGCCGCGAAGAGCCATGATCCTTCCCTCGGTGGACCCCTTCACGCCGGTCGACGAGCAGGTTTCCGACGAGTCCGACCACGAGTGCACCCAGGAGGCTCACGACCCCGAGCACCAGCACGATGAATCGTGCGCGCACGAGGCCGACACCCCGGCCGGCGTGACGGTCGTCAACGGTCTGACCATCGTCCATGACTTTGACATGTCCACTTTCCCGGCCGACGAGACTGTGCGCGTGCTGCCTCCGCCCCCCGCCCCACCGCATCCCCCCCCCCCCTCCCTTTCTCCGACGTGTCCTCAATTGACCGCCCATCTGCTGATCGTACTGCCTCCCCCTTTCCGGGCATATGTCTCCACACGTGCGCGCTCATACGCAGTCTCTCTACCTGTTCAACGAGCGCCTCGGCCGTATCCCCTCCATCAACCACTTTTCACAGCTCCGCGTACGTGCCCGCAGTCTGCCCCCCTCTCTTCCCCCTCTCTATTCGTCTGCCCCCTCTGCATCGCATTGACCTTTCAGCACATGGCCCCTGCCTAGTCGGTTGTCCTGACCAAGAACCTGCTCCGGACCATCGAGGGCCTGGACCAACTCGTCCAGCTGGAAGAGCTGGATCTGTACGACAACTTGATCGATCGCATTTCCGGCCTCGAGAAGCTGGTCAACTTGCGGTACGCCCTGGCAGATGCGCACGCGACAACGCACCGCACGACATGGCGATCACTGACATTTCCCCTTCTCGCCCTCGCCCTCCTCCTCGCGATCCCCCTCCTCCTTGCGATCCCCCTCCTCCTCGCGATCCCCCTCCTCCTGGGCCACCGCAGCCGCCTTGACCTGTCCTTCAACAAGATTCGCAAGATCGAGGGCCTTGAGACGCTGGTCAACCTTCGCCGGCTGTACCTCGTGTCGAACAAGATCTCCAAGATGGAGGGTGCGTTATCTGCTTCCTCCCCTCGGTGCCGCTGCTTCCTGGGCTTTCCGCATTTCGTCTCCCCCCCCCCCCCCTGGCGCTCGACCTCACCCTCATCCCCATATTGAACTGTGTCCTCCCTGAAACATCCCGCCCATGTTCCCCACGGCAGGGCTTGAGTCCCAAAAGCACCTGGAGCTCCTTGAAATGGCCCACAACCGTGTCCGCGTACGCGCCACGCCCGCCCAGTGCCATCTGCCCGCCCTGGTCTCCCCCCCTCCTCCTCATTGACCGCCGCCCCTCTCCCCCTGCCCGACGTGTGTGCGCACATCCGCAGGTCATCGAAAACATCTCTCACATGTCGGAGCTTACCGAGCTCTGGCTCGCCCGCAACAAGCTCACCTCCCTCGCCGGACTCGACGGCCTCACCTCCTTGACGCTCCTGAGCATTCAGGTGCGCTGTCACCCCCTGGCCCCTTGGGGAGCTGCCGCTGCATGCTGTCGCGGGTTCCTTTCTCTCGCCCTTTCCTGACTGAGTCCTCCCTCCTCCGCTCTACACACGCACGCGCGCGCACGCGCCCACTGGGACTGTCATCCAGTCCAACCGCATTTCCACTCTCGACGGCCTGTCCAAGGTCCCCGCCCTGGAGGAGCTCTATGCCAGCCACAATGCGATTGCCAGCCTCACGAGTCTGGCAGCCTGCCCGCGCGCAGAGATCGCCACCTCCGAACCCACTGAGCCTACGGAGGACGAAACCAGCCAGCTGGTGGCCCCGGTGGCCGCGCTCACCCTCCGCCGCCCGGCCACTGCCAGCCCCTTCGACATTTCGGACGGCGCCCTCGCAAATGTCCCGCACCTGACCACGCTCGATGTGGCGGTCAACCGTCTGCGCTCCTTCGAGGGGGCAGAGTGTCTCGTCTCCCTGCAGGAGCTCTGGGTACGTTGTCCCCTTCGCCCCTGCCCGCCCGTGCCATGCGCCTCTTGCTCCCTTCTGCCTCTCCCATTCTGACACGCCATCTTCCCGCCCCCCCCCCCTTCCCCTTCCCCAGGCCAATGGCAACCAGATTTCCGACTTCCGCGATGTCGAGCGGTACATCTCCCCCTCCAAGGACTCCCTGCAGACCATCTATCTCGAGCACAATCCCCTGCGGGCTGATCCACAGTACCATCTGAAGCTTAAGATTCTCTTCCCCGGGTTGACTCAGATCGATGCTGTCCACCTTCGACCCGGCATGACTCCAATGGCGGCCGCGGCCGCCGGCGTGGCCGTCGATTCCGGGACGCCCTCCCCCTATCGCGCCATGTAATTCCTGATCCAGCAGGGGGCGCGACACGGAAGTCCCCC